ACCTTATAGCAGCTGGAGAATGAAATGGGTATTATTTTATTTCATTCGAAGACATACCAGTCAAATTGCTGGATGCAGTGCCTATGGATTGCTCTGCAATTGGACTATTTAAACAGGTGCTGGAGAACTGTCGTCCTTGTACACAAGGAGGAGGAGAGTGTGCTTTGGACATGGCATCCTTACGATGGAGCCTTCTGCAATGGAAACTACGCTGCAGGGCTGTGTCAAGGTGTACGGTCGTCAGACAGAGCACGACTGGACATGGCGAGATGGACGTGGTGAAGCTCTAAAATAATTTTAGTTTAATGGATTTAAAAAACTGCCGATCTGTGTTAAAACTCACCTCTCCATAAGGTGAAATTGTAGAATATCTTATTTTTCAATGTAAAATGCACAATACTGCGAATTATTTGCCTCTTTTTCTAAGTGGTCATAAGAAACACAAATGCATTGGGTAATGTATGAAAGTTGAATCATAAAATTCAGTGTATGACTATTATTTCTTGATTAAATGGCAGCATTAAACCTCTGATGACTGGAAATCTTGTGAGGTGTATTCTCAATGTAAATTTATAGGAATCACGTAATGTGAAAAAAAATGAAAGTATAAATAATAGTATTGAATGCAAATGCTTTTACTCTATGTTCAAATTCTTTAAAAAAGAGGATTATTTGACTTTATAAAACTGAAGCATTATCTTTAACACAAAAAAACATACGTTATTAGTGCCATCTCTTGATTTTAAATTTAATTAAAACAAACACATTTACTAAAAAAATATTTGCGCAAGCACATTTGTTTTTCTCTCATTATTTGCGCCATCTCTTGCCTTTAAATTGAATTATAAAAACAAATAGTAAAAATTTATTTGCGCAAACACATTTGTTTTTCACTAATTACACGTTTAGTTTTTTGTTGATTATCACGTACCTCTTGAACTGCTAACCGGTGTGACAACGGTAAGTCTTCGGATTTACAACGCTAAAATCAGGGGTTAGATTCCCATCGGTCGACACAGCAAATAGCCCGATGTGGCTTTGCTATAACAAAACATACAGAAACCGGGTTTCGATACCCGTGGTGGGCAGAACACAGATAGCCCATTGTTTAATTGCAAACTTGAGAGCATGATGTGACATTATTACTTTCGTCTTATGAATTGTTAGTATTAAAGGTAGCCGCGGACATAGTTTTTGCTCTAAAATATATTGACGTATTTTGAATAAATTATTCGTACCAAGAGGGTTGTATTTCCTCGTCACTGTGTAACCTGCATGCGTGTTTGTATTCTGACTACAGCGAAGTTGTTGCCGAACTGCCTTTCATCCTGATGCGACCGAGACCCGCTAAGAAGCTCGTAACCACCGACTCTCAAGATGTAAACCTTGGAGTGGACTCAACCTATTACATTTATATAAATGTGTTACAAGTAGAAACAGCAGTTATCCATACCGTAGAAATGTTTGAAGTTTAAATTTTTCTAAAGAATTGTTTGTTTGTAATCGAGCACAAAACTGCACAAAGGGCTATCTGCGCTCTGTCCACCACGGGTATGCTATGCCACTGGGAGGGGGGGGTTCTTAAAGAAACCAGTTTTTACTTTAGTAGAAGCCATAAAAAGATAGAAGAAAATAGGGGAAATAAACATCTTATTTCGAAGCTATCGGATTACATATAATCCAATTTCAGCGATTTTCTGTGAAAACATATACGCTGTAAGTTTAATGTAATATATTAATGTTGAAAAATAAGATGAAATATGTATGCAAAAAAAAGATGAAAAAAAGGAAGTGGAAAGAAGACAGAAACAGTTAGGAGTATGCAACGAGACTGCACACAACTAAATTATTTTAATTGAAAGGAGCTGGAAGTATCACTTAATAAGCTGAAGATCCGTTATATATAATTTGAAACGTTCAAAATAAAATGTTTATATTCTCTATCGTCTTAACATTGTTGAAATTACGATTCCCTAACGAAAAAAATAATTTTAAATATTTTCTGTCTGAAGCGCCACCTGGTGTGATTTTCAAGAACTTTGTATGACAGAAAAAAAACACTCAACATGCTGCTTAAATTCACATAGAAAAAAAGTTTCGTATGACATCTACTGTGAGTTGTAACTGAATGAGTGTCATACATATTAGATAAATGAGGTTTATGACTACAACAAACTAATGCTAAGCATGGTGAAATAATCATCTTTAATGCAGATGTTACCACTGACTTACACGGTATCTCTGTAACTAAAATACTGAAACTTCAACGATTCAACTTTGTTTAATTATGCGGTTGTTGTTCTAAGTGCCCATTGGTAAAACAGTCAAGAAATGATGTTTTTTTTTATCAAGTTTATTTCACGATTTATCCAATGCATTAAATTTAATAACATTGTTTGTTTGAGAATATTCGTATAAAGCTATACAAGTGATATCTGTAATTTGTTATGATGTACTGTACTAATAATACATTATATTTTTGTTATGATGTACTGTACTAATGATACATTATATTTTTGTTATGATGTACTGTACTAATAATACATTATATTTTTGTTATGATGTACTGTACTAATGATACATTGTATTTTTGTTATGATGTACTGTACTAATGATACATTATATTTTTGTTATGATGTACTGTACTAATTGATACATTATATTTTTGTTATCATGTACTGTACTAATGATACATTATATTTTTGTTATGATGTACTGTACTAATGATACATTATATTTTTGTTATGATGT